ATTGTCTTGGTATGACTCATAGTACGAGGAAGATTAAGTCATCCATAAACATGGCATGCAGCAAGGCTATTAGAAGAAAGAAGAGGACGAAATTAGATAAGAGTTTTGTTTTGTTTAGTGAGTAAATTCCCTTCTCATTGCTTATTTTAGCCATATATGGCATACTATAATTGAAGGATGTTTGTTAATTGCAATGAGATAAATGTTAGCTTTCATCTTCTAGACTTGATTTGGGCTGAAAGGAGTATATGAGTCATAGTATGAGGAAGAATCACAGTCAATATTTGTTGGCTTTGGAGAACATCTGGGAAGTTAAATTATCTGTGCTGGGAATTCGTTTGCTGCTGAAGTTTCTTATAGAATGATAGTTCAAGTGAATATATGTACTAAAATGTTCCAATTAACTTGATCAGAACTAAATTTAGCTCTGTTTGTTGCATTGCAATGCAAATAATAGTGTTAACCGCATAGATTTGTTTGCCTGGGAATCATGACATTTTCATCCATCAATAAGTACGTTGTTGAATTTACAAGAACTCTGGGATTTTTCAAGATGTCAAGTGTGTTATTTCTCTGCTTTCAAGGTGTAAAGATATACACACTGCAAATTGATTATTGTGTGGTTCCTTTGGGTATATGATAGCCTGCTGAATTATCTTTTAGAAAAAGAAAGATAAAACTAACTTTGTGTTTCTTACATGTAAGAGAATTGTATATCTTAATAGAAGAAATCATGAGACTAATTTGCTAGTGTAGTTAATGGCATGGACTTAAGGTTCATAAGACTTTACTTTGAATTTTGACATATGGTTCTGAGGTTTAGACATGCTAATAATAATATAGTATCAAGCACTAGCTTGGGGAGTTTAAAGTTGGGATATTACAGTTTTGAGCTAAATTGAGGTAGACCAAATGAAGGTGTTAAATAGAATATGAATCAATTGCGTCTTCGGGAGGCCGGTCTACATTGCATTGGCTAGGGAGCTAGTGTGTATAAGTGACTTATGGGGAAGACTTCTTTGTTCATACAGCTGATCTCTTCTTTATGGGATTAAGGCTGTAATATTGTTATGTTGTTGTTGTTGTAGATAGGGTTGCCTTTTAGATCAATAATTTAACTCAAAAAGACTTTGTTTTTTTAGGGTAAGACTGTAGGACCTTCCTCTTGGGAGAAATTATAGCCAAGCGCATATGCTAGCCTATATTCTAAGAGATATAGAAAAGCATATGTAAAGACTTGGAGGCTCATGGGGAGCCTCCTAAAAGCCCAATATAGGGGAGCCTCCTAAAAGCCCAATATAAAATAAAAAAATTCATGTAAAAGTTGGTCATTCTACTTTCTAATAGAGTCGTTAATCCGTAGTTGTGGGAGAAAATTCCATTGTTTAAATATAGATAGGGAGAGTTAACAGATATAAGGATGCCCGTTCATCAACATCAATAGGTATTTGGAAAACAAAAAAAAGTTCCCGTCCCTTTTTGGTACGTGACACGTGGTAATACAAAAAGTCAAAGAACCTAGAAGGTGGACCGGTAGGTATAAACTCATTCCGATGGTCAATTGGGGTCCTTGACCATCAGAATTATGTAAAGGTAAGTGTTGTATGATAATTAGAGACACACACACATATATGATATCACTCTAAATTCTGCAGAAGATAATATGAAGAGGATAAATTGTGAGGGAGCTTTTTAAAATTTGTCTACAACTTATGTAGTTTTGAGGAAAAAATCGGATGAAAGAAAACTCTCTTCTTCCATATTTGATTCTGTTCATCCTTTTGAATGGTTTGATTCTTTGCAATTAACACCATTCTTGTCTGCAAAAGCTTTAAAGTCCCCAGCTATACCCATTCTGTTTTATGGTAAATACATAAATTAAAAAAAAAAAAAAAAACTTGCATCAAGCTGTGTTCATGAGTAGTTGATGGTTTCTAGAGAAGTGCTTGCATTTGTTATCTTTGAATTAGATAATAGATCTTTCGTTGAATCTTAGGCCCATTGACAGAAGTTATATTAGTTGAGCCAAATCATTTGTGCTCTTTGTCATTACCCTTGTACAGTTGCAATAACAAAAGAGCAGAGGAAGTATCGTTTTAAGCAAATCCTTTTCCCAAACCTCAATAAGTCGTGTTGGGTCAGATCTTCTATAATTGCTGCTCACTTTTTGGTTTTCCTCACTGATCATTTGACATCAGCTTAATCATCCATACATAGAAAAAGATAATAATTCACATAGTACCATAATAATGCCCAACATAAGCTTTAGGGCCAATTAGGGTCATTCAAGTCCCTTACGCATCCTAAACCAACATAAGCTCACTGTGTAATATTGATGTTATTGTGTAACTATTTTCTCAAGTGATTCAACTATATTTCACTCACTATTAAATGGACAAATTAGTACCTAGGCAAGAGGGAAATAGAGAAGTGTAGTTCTTCTGGTGCATCTGTGTAGTTTAGTGATTATCATTATTGTCCCTAGATTTTTTTATTTTATTGCAATTAGTTGCTCTGGTGCTTCTATTTTCTTTCTTTCTTTTTTTTCCGAGGGAGTTTCTGAAGAAACTAATTTTTCGTGTGGTGCTGTTGATGTCTCCAGTCAGAGGTGTTTGCTGTTGCTTTTGCCCTTCTTGCTGCTGGTGCTGTAATTTTGACGCTGAATGTACTGCTATTGGTAAGAGAACCCTTTATGCTTTTTCTCTATGTTCCATTTTCCACAACTCTCCACACCCCCTCCCCCCCCCCCCCCCCCCCAAAAAAAAAAAAATCCTAAGAACAAGAAGATGAATGATGTCTAATAAAACAATATCGGAGAAACTAATATTAAACGTAGGAGACTAAATAATATTTGCATGCTACTAACAAATGGTTTGGTAATGTTGGTTTAGGGTGGACACATAATTTTCTTCCAGAGTTTGAGCCTTCTAGGCTACTGCCTTTTCCCTTTGGATGTTGGAGCTCTCATCTGCATGTTAAAGGATAATGTGATTATCAAGATAGTTGTGGTTTGTGTGACTTTGGCCTGGAGTTCGTGGGCTGCATATCCATTTATGAGTTCGGCAGTTGGCCCAAGGAGAAAAGCTTTGGCTCTCTACCCAGTGTTCCTCATGTATGTATCTGTTGGTTTCCTCATCATTGCTATTGATTAATTGCTGAGGGGTGCTCTTGAGAAATATCAGCTGGGGATGCTGCACCAATATATATTTTCATGCTGAACTGGTTGTGAATTCTTCAAACAAAATCTTGTTGGCCTGATAGTTTATCGATAACCAATTTTGTATAACATTCTATAGCAAATTATATGCAAACCTTGATAACGTGCTCTGAATGTTTGTTATTTTAGTTTGTTCAGTTGATATAATCATCTGTGTAATGAGAAGTGTTTGGAATATATATCTGAAGTTCTGATATAAGTAATAGTCTCCGCTTTGCTTTAGTGGTTAATCTTTGTTGCTTCCTCCATTTCAGAATAATTGGGACACTTGGCTTTTTTTTTTTTTTTAATCAACTTTGACCATTTTTTTTGTTGCTATTATATAAAACTAGCTAAAGTCCCGTGTAATGAACTGGTTTTACTAAATTATATAGCGAGCTGCAACGAAATTATATACTCCCTCCGTTAAATATTATTTGCAACTTTTGCCATTTTTGTCCGATTAGGGTTATGTGCAACTATCTGTTTTTTTTTTCCATTTTTAGTAAACAAAAACCCTTAAAATTACATATTTACCCTTACTTAAAAATTTTGATTTTCTTAATTTTGCCCTCAACTTAATTTAACCACATTAACCTAAAACTAATCAGATTACCCTAATTTAATTAGTCCCTCCATCCACTCTCAATCCCAACCACCAACAATTTCAGATTCTTCCTGATGAACCTTCATGTTCATCCATTCATCATCCTCTTCGTCTCTTCATCTTCTCCAATTCATCCTTCATAACAATTCCTCTCTCCTCTTCGTCCTTCATCTTCTCCAATTCATCATCCTCTTCATCTTCCTCTCTCCTCTTCGTCCTTCACTCTCCAAATCGGGACTTTAAACAGCAGATCTGGGTTTTCTGAGTTTTGATTTCATTTTCCGAGTTTTGATTTCGTCTTCCTCTCTCCTCTTCGTCGATTTTCTGAGTTTTGATTTCAATTTTATGGGTTTTGATTTCAATTTTTTGGGTTTTGATTTTCAAGGTTTTGATTTCGAATTTCTGGGTTTTGATTTCGAATTTTCTGGGTTTTTATTTTCAAGATTTCGATTTTCGTGGGGGTGGTAGTGGTGGTGGTTTCGTGGGGGTGGTCTGGGTTGGAGGAGGGTCTGGGTGGTGGGGTGGTCTGGGTTGGAGGTGGGTAGGGCTGGTGGTGGTAGTGGTTTTGTGGGGTTGGTAGTGGTGTTGGTGAAGGCGGCGGTGGTGTTGGTGAAGGCGGTGTTGGCTGATCTTTGCCACTTGATTACATTCTCTCTCCACCTTAATTACATGCCACAAGTTACTTAACTTTCACTAATCTTTGCCCTTTAAAATTTGCATTGGCAACCGTAAACTGTACTTTAGTTGCAGATAATATTTAACGGAGGGAAAAAGAATCACATTTATACACTAAATAAAATAAATTGAATATTTTTTTATTTTTATTTTATTTTATTTTATCCATCTATATATACATCAAGTTTTTTATTTTTTATTTTTTATTTTGACAATGATGTAAATGCTAAAGATGTGTAAGAATTTTTAAATATGAAAGAAATTTAGGAATATTGTTTATTTAGAACCCATGCTATTTACACTACCTCGTCTCCATTTTTTTAACACAATTTGACATACGCATTTATTTATGCAAATTGTTTTTTGGCAATTAAAAGAAATTTTATTAATTACCAAGGAAAGCAAAAGCCATTATAACCACACACCAAAAACCTGACTCAAAGGTCAAAACAACCAAAGCAGCAGCAAAATAAACTAATTACATCAATTGTCTAACAAAAACTTCCTCTGAGCTTCACAGCATCAACAAGCCACCTTGAAACTAATTTCCCTGAATAAAACAGCAGCAGTCATATTTATGTGATTTTGGTTGAAAATCTGATCATTTCTATACAGCCAGATTGCATACAAGCTTTCAGCAAAATACATTAAAAACAACTGATGTTTAGCAAACCTTCTCTTAGCACTTTTAAAAGCCCAAGCAAGCTCATTAGAGAAAGGACTAGGATTTCTGTTAAACTGCAGAGCTTTGAGAGCCATAGACCAAATCTGAGCAGAAAAATCACACTGAAAAAACAAATGCTCAACTGACTCAGGAGCAGCATTACACAGACAGCAGTTCACAATAGCCACAATACCCCACACTGCCAACCTGTCTCTAGTAGGAAGTCTGTTATTAACAGCTAGCCAAGTAGTAAATAAGCTTCTAGGGGAAGCCTGATTTTGACACAGCACTCTAGACCAGGAAACTTTCTCAAGGTCACTTTGCAGATGCTTATACATTTCTTTGATAGAAAAAGAGCCATTCTTCATGAATTTGTCCCATCCTCCAGCAGACATAATTGTCTGAACACAGCCAAAGATCTTCCTCAAAGCCCAGGAATTGTTAGCAGGACAACTAACAGCAGAAAGGTCTCTATTTTACATATAGTAGTGTAGACACCTGATTGTGTCTCCCCAAAAACCAAACCCAGTGATGAGTACCTTTCATGTCTTTGATTTATGAGTTCAGTAAAGAGTTGAAGAGTCTCGTGAAGTTTCCTTAAGCCTTAACCATACCCCTAACCTTACCTAAAATGTTTTAAATCCAAAATCATTCATTTCGTGTCCTTAAAATCATTCATTTCGTGTCCAATCCATAAAAACGTCCAAACTATATTATTTTGGTCCATAATCCTGGTCCAATTATTGTTTAGTTGGATGTGGCTTGAAAAGAGCTTTCCAACGATATATTATTAACCCAAATCCGACTTGAAACGAATAAGTTATGGCTAAAATACTAAACCGAGCTCAAATCGGACTTACCTACGACCCAATGATCATGAGGAGGGTCCAAATACCTTAATCCCAATCCTAAACCAATTAGGATTTATTACGACCTTCTGGAATCCTCTACAAGGTTCTAATTTATCCTTCCCCCGAAAGATAAGGATTATAGAGTTTGATATTGAATAAAACGTCTCTTTTTGATAATTTTAATCCCGGTCTAAATAGAATACATACTGATATTTTATTAACCCAATTCTATTAGAAGTTGGACTCCATATGGATTTATGTCCTTAGGAATCCATTGCAGAACGACAAGACCATCGCGCTGCGATACTCCTATCGTGTCGCGATGGAACCTTTTTTATTCCAATTTGGGTTCCGTCTCTTTTCTGATGCTTCGATTCTCTTTTTTCCTATAAATAGAGGTCGTATCATCCCGTTTTCAATCACCAAAAATCATCATCAGTACCCTTTCTAATATTCTCTCTCTCTCTCTCTCTTGATTTCTCACATTCTTAGCCTAGCCTAAACACATCCTTGTTACTTTCCCCAATCAAACACCATAGCTCCTTTGCGAGATTCGAATACTCCTTGCCCTCCTCGACGTCGCCTTTGACCTTGACGGGAAAGGTTGATAGTTATGGGGGTTTAGTCCCAAATCTATATTTCAATTATTATTTGATTTATTTACTTTGTTGATTTAATCTTTCTTGAAGTTACTAACGTGTTTATTGTTTTAATAGCAAGAAGGGAGGAACATCAACGTAAGTAATTCAATTACTTAATCCTTGATTTTGGAGTAGAAATCATGTTTAGAATATTATTTTAATTCCTAGTATCATTTTAGGATGTTTTTATGATTTCTAGTATCATGTTAGGATGTTTTTAATTCCTAGTATTATGTTGGGATGTTATTAAGATTTCTAGTATCATGTTTAGGTTAAATCTTTGATTATAACTTTTATTAGTGACATGCTAGAATTTGTTATTAATCCGTTTAGTATCATGCCTAGGATCTTAGTAATGATGTTTTGATGATTTTGATTATGATGATGATCGTTGTGCCAATTATTCATATGTTGCTTGATTATTCATGATTGATTGTTATTGCTTGATCACGCCCCTTTTTGCAGGTTTAAAGGGAATTTGTACTTGAAATCACGCCTAATAAGATAATTAATAATTTGATTTTAGGTTAATATGATTTTAATTCAAGTGATCACCAATAATTTGATTGTGCGTTAATAATCAACCAACGTAGATTAAGCAGGTTTAGGGCTAACTTGATGTATGTATGTTGATCCAAAAGCGCACACGAATATCATAAGAATTAAGTACGTAAAGGCCGATTTAGGGCGGGTTCAATCACTTTTAGGTTGGATTCGTACCGTCATCCTCGAATATCCAATATGGTTCCGGACCACTATGGAGTTAGCGATCTCCGTGACCGTGAATGGAGAGTAACTTTCACACCCGTGAATGGTTTACGAGTTTCTAAAATTGGTTGGTGACTCTTATATCTCTAGCTTCCTTCCCTTGGAGCGCCGCCATGCCTAAAAGCATGAAAACAGTGGGGCTCAAAAGGTTGAGTTTGAAAAATTCCTTACAGTTTTTGGCGACTCCACTGGGGAGATTTCTAGATTGATTCCTAAAATTTATTTTGGCAATTGATTTAGAATGAGTGGATGAGACTTGAAAGATTCTAGTTATTCATTGTGCGTAATTTTGATTAGCAGTGTGGCATAAGCATAAAAAGATCGCTTTGGAAAGACCATTTGTAATGCGTCAAAAACATAGGATTTTATACACGTAGGAAAATCCAGAAATATCTTTCATAACTAGAATCGAAAAAACACTACGAAAAATCGGAAAAATTTCGAACATAGAAGCTGCCTCAGAACGTCAGAACTGGCGCAGGACGCCAGGAACCATCGCAAGAAGATGGCTTCATTGCGCCGCGATGGAGCTATCACTGCGCGACGATTCTTGTCTTCCAGCGATGGATCTGGCGATTCTGCACCAGAATTCTGTCTTCCTGTTTTGCCCGATTCTAGTAATGTTTCAACGATTCTACTTCCTGATTGAGTTTTTTTTTTACTTTTCTGAACCCATATGTGTTCGACATATTGTTTTAGCCCTTGGGAATTCACGCTCCATCCACCCTAATGAACACTCCGTGTAACAATGGGTGCATCCGAGTTTGTGAATTCACCAAACCATGGAAGCGAGTTTCACTTGCGGGGTCCCATCCATCGTGCCAACCCTTCTAAGGTAAGGCTTTCGCGTGATGCATCCGAACTCATAACCATGGACCCTCTTGGACACCATAATCCTTGACCTTAGAGAACTAGAGCCATGGTTAGGTGGCAAACTCATTGCATCATATTGTGACTACTTGACTACTTGTGCATCTCTTACTTGTGCATACTTTACTTGTGATTAAACTAACCCTCTGCGTTGAATTGTTTCTTGTAAATAAATTCTAATTAACTAACCAAGGACTAAAAGGACTTTGCTTTATTAGATTGGCTAATTAATATGAACTTATATAGTCTAAATATACTCGACCTAGAAGTCTCTAGGCTTGAACTTTCGAGAGAATAATCAAAAACAGATTTTATTGACGTTCCAGTAATGGCGCATTAATTTGGTCTGTGGCGCAGAACACTGGAATCCATCGCGCCACGATAGTCTTGTCGCACCACGATGGTCCCATCGTCCTGCGATGGTCCGACTGTTTCTTTCTGAGTCTTCGCGTCGAGTCTAAACTTCATGATTAACCGATTTAATGAATAAACAAGGTCTTAACTTGGTCTTTGTTTGAGCCTAGTCACATGTCTAGTCTCATGGTCATTACTCGAGTCTTGAACATATCACTTTCACTCACGAGTCATTGCACACACTTTGTACATATCCTTTTTCACCATGACCATGCTTAGAGTCTTGTGGGCGTTTTTTCCGTCATTTTTTTTAGGGGGGTAAGTCAGATATTATCCTCCCAATATAAACTATGTTGCTTGAAAACTTGTCTCCCATACTTGATTCCCTTACTTGATCCCCACAAAAATATGCACCCATTTTTTGCTTTTTCAACCCAATAAAAGTACGAGTCGATTTGAGTCAAGTCATTAAAAGAGTCAATGGTTTAATTTTACAGCGTTTGGTCAAGGAGAGAAGGACGCTAAATCAAAGATATCACTTTCATACAAGTACTTCTTTTCCAAATCCCAGTTTGAACAAGAAGAAAGAGAATAATGTCGGCCAAACAAGAAGATGTTGACAGAATTCAAAAGACCGTGCAAAAGGATGAACGTGCCAATGACCCTTGTAGACAATGGTTCAGCAATTAATGTATGCCCACTTCGCACTGCCATAATGTTGGGAATAATGAATGAGGACTTGACTCCATCCACACAAGGCATAAGGGCTTATGAAAACTCTCGTCGCCAAGCCCTTGGCACCATTTCTATGAATGTCACTGCAGGAGTCATTGAACATAGCACTACTTTTCAAGTAGTGGACATTAAGGCTTCATTCAACCTATTGTTGGGACGCCCTTGGCTCCATGACCTCAAGGCCGTTCCTTCATCTCTCCACTAACAAGTAAAGTATATAGTTGGAGGAATTCCTATCATAATTGACGCTTCCCCCATGAGAATCAAAGCGATTGGTAGACCAATCATTCATGTGGAGCACGATGAGTATGATGAAGATTTGTGGGGCTTTCACGCTGAAGAGGTGTCTTTTATCAAAGAAGATGAAAAGACCCCTCTTGACTATAACCCCCACTCAAATTTCGTCGTCAATGCTATTCTTAAAAGACAAGGACACTTTCTCGGAATGACTCTAGGAAAGAAGAAAGAAATAGCTAAGCGCATGGGACTACCTAGCCTTCCTAAGAGGGATACTTTTGGACTTGGATTCAACCCAACTCCGGAAGACCTTAAGCGAGCCTTGGAAAAGTCCAATGCACGAAGAAGAGCTCGTATCCAGAAAGATGCGATACCAATAGATCCATATCCTCTCACGGTGAATGGACAATTTATAAAAGAGGGAGAAGATTACCCATGCTACGAATTCCCCGGACCACTTGTCAGGAATGGGATACACCAACCTGGGTTCGAGATCTTCTTGGATTGCAACTTTCTAGATGAAATTCCCAATCCAACATATAAGGAACAAACACCCCCATGCTTTGACTTTAATGTCACGGGTCTCCTCTTTGGGTACGAGAAAAGCGAAGCTAAGTGTGTCAACGACAACTTCACACTTATATAGACTGCCTTACAAATTGAAGACTTCAACCCCTCCAAGTTCATCACTCCAATGGAAGGACTACTCCAGGGATGGTGCAAGACCGTGAAAGTGACTACGCCAAGTGGAAGAAAGATATCTATAACTATGGGAGAAGGCCCCATGTTTGATGAGTCTGAGTCATCTGAGTTTGAGTCTTCCTTAGAGTCTTCCACCCTTGAGTCTTCTAAGTCTCTTATAATTGCACCTCCTACCATCAAACCTAGCTTAGAATCTACCTATAGAATAGTTATTAGCTAGGTCCCAACAAACCTTTC